AAAAAAAGCCCCCCCCCCCCCCCCTCAAAAAAAAAAAACCAAACAAAAAACACACAACATTAAATCACCAAGCTTCATGGTATAAACATTTGTACCCATTTGGAGTTAATGGCAAATTTTGTTCTGATTAGCTTATACCGTATTTGTCCATTACAGTGGTTCTGGCACCTTCCTCTGAAGTATCTGGTAAAAGAAGTGCCAGACATTGATCGTTGCCTTGATCAGTTTTATGGCAGTTCCTGTGTTCCAAAACACTGTATTTCAACAGCTGCTGTTACTCGGTGAAGTGCTTAACCCAGGGATTCTTAGATTTTTTTTCTTTATTATTTATGGCCTCTTCTCTGAGTTTACAAAGGAAATCCTCACTAGAAACATTGTCCCCTGAACCTTGATTTTTTTGTTTCTACCAGGACTTTTCTACTTATTAACATGATACACTTCATTATTGATCATTTTCTGAATCCTTTTGACTACTGTGAAACTTCTTAAGAGACCTGAACAATTGAACAATGCTGATTGGTATGTGCAGTTGCCCGTCCTTTACATTTCATGAGTCTTAATAATTTCAGCTCCTCCTTTTCAAATTAAAGCATAGACTATTCAAGCTCAAACTATTTCCCTGGCACATTTCAGGAGTGTCCCTATGTTATACATGTACAGGGTAACTATTTAGAGTTTGGGGCATACTCTTACTTGGCATTACTCCTTAGTGGCAGCTCCTTAATCTAATTACCAGTTTGGTGGAGAGGTCCTGCAGTTTTTAATTAAGTAGGATTCTTGAATCAAACTGAATTGAAAGCAGCTTGCAGCCCTGTTTGGGAGGAACATGTATTCCTGCTCTTTAGAAGGCAGATGTTTAGAGGCCTGAGATGTGAACAGGATGACCCTGAGGTGTCCACAAGGGGCGCTTATGACATAAACTCCTAACTTGTGCAAGAAACCCTGCCAGCAGCAGAAGTACACCCCTGACCCTTTAGCAATCGTTGCCTAGCAGGTGCCTTCTTAAGTAATTACTGTGAGATCAGTTAGGGAACTAGTGATTTCTCTAATAGTGTGGTGAAGTTGGATCTGATTTTAGAAGCAGAGCTAAAACTAAACCAAATTCTAGCAGTATCAGAAGGTGCAAAACATTTTATCTAAGTTTCATGTTTTTGGACTATTTTACGAATTACAGACTGGTCCTAGACTTATCAGCCATTGATCCTGATGGCAAAAATTGACTGTTTAAGAATTGATTGACTCCACTTTCCCTTTTATAACTTTTGGGGGTTTTTGTTTTGTTTTTATTGCTCTTTTTACCTTTGACTTTGTACATGTTATAATGCTTTGGATGAAAAATCCCTTTAAGTTAAAGGAGTAGGAATATCTTCTATAATAAGTCTGTTGCTATGCTTCTGATATTGCCATGGCTTCCACTTAGTCTTTAGTTACCAAGAACGTTTCTGTAAAGTATTTAGTTGCCATTTATCAAGAATGTGTTTTTTTTTCAAAATTGAGAAAAAGGGCTTAAAATCTGTACTGTTGTAAAAGTTCATTCAAAAATACTTTTCATACCTCTGGATTGGTTCTTGCCATTTCTTGGATGGTGCTACTGTTTCTTGGATTTGGTACACTTGGCCAACACTGTCTTTTTGACCTGGAAAGACATCTTCATTAAATTGAGGATCAGATTAAGTGACAGCTTTCATATGTTTCTGTATATATCACCAATCAGAGACATATCTGTATTGTTTCATTTCTATCACTGAGACATTCTGTCAGCTATTAACAACCAAAAAAATTGAAAGCCAGAACCTTTTGGGCCCATATTTCCCCAGTAAGTTGGTGACTTTGTAACTGTGTAATTATTTAGTATCATTAAGAGTTTCAAATCTACCCAATAAGGTGGCTTTATTTCTATGTCTACTTCATATCTTAGTCTCTTCTTAATTTACCACTATTTCCACCAACTGTCTGCTGGCTGTTCTTGTTCCCTTTTTTCCCTTTGGGGTTTTTACAGTTACATAAGCATGGGGAGTTTGTCTTATGATTAGTCATTCACAGGTAGATTTCCATAGAAAGGGGGAAATCCTCCCTCTGGCTTCTCCTCCATAAACAAGCATGAGCTTGTGAAGGTCTCTCCCACAGACCTAGAGACCAGAAGGGTGAGTGTAAGACAGCTGCCCTATTTTCTATAGTTTGGATTTCAGGTCATAGTTTGGCATATTGACCCATCCTGCCCATTGTTTCTAACTGACATGAATGCAAAGCACAGTAGAAAAGACAACATGTGCAAGCCTTCATGAAAGAAGCTAACAGACAACTCTCTGATACCGCCTACTACAAAAAAACTAAAGGAAGATCCAACTCCCCTTTTCAGCTTAAAATTAAAAAAAACACCATCAAATCATTTCCATCTAAACTACAAGAAAAGCTACAGAACCTAATCCCCCCACTACCCAACCCACGGACTTTTTACACGCTCCCTAAAATCCACAAACAAGGGAACCCAGGCAGACCTATAATATCTACCCATGAAACCCTAACTGAGGAAGGATCAGGTTTAATTGAATCCATCCTAAAACCTCTTGTCACCCAAAAAGCAAGTTTTGTCCAAGACGCAACAGGCTTTCTACGAAAACTTAAAAACATAGATCACCTTCCCAGCAACACACTCCTGGCCCCCATGGATGTTACCAGCTTATATACCAACAACTCAAACCAGGATGGCATCCAGTCCTGCCTTATGTATCCACAAAAGCAAGATTACAACTCAGAGAACAGATCTAAAGATATTACTGAATTTATACACTTCATCCTCACACACAACAACGTCACTTTCAATAACCAACACTTCCTCCAGACCATGGGCACCAACATGGGCCTACACTATACCAACTTTTTTGGGGGTGGGGGGACACCTAGAAGAATTCCTCAAGAATTCTTCTTCCCATGATACCTAAAGGCATTTGTACATGACACAGTTCTTAATCCTCATTAATTTACCGTGCCTTAAAAATTTTAATCCGGGTTAATTTGGTGTGCTGTGTTTGTGTTTGCATGACACTCTCTTTGGAGTGACCAAGTCCCGTGTGTCATTCCCCGCAGAGTCCATCAGGGGGAGCCAAATACCAATCTAGCTGGGATCGCCCTCTCCTGCTCCCACCAGCTGAGTAAAGTAAAATCCCTGACATTTTTTTTTGGGGGGGGTCAGAGGCAGGGGCTGCCTCTGAGGGCAGCACAGGGGCCAGTGCCTGTGCTCGCGGAGGATGAGCAGGGAGGAGATGCTGCCCAGGGGGAGGGGAAAGGGGAAAGGGGGGCTGTGGCCAGCCCCATCCCTGTGCTACGTCCAGGCAGGTTTTTTAAATAGAAGCCAAATGTCCGGAATTTCCTCCCCAAGTTCATTTTCAACATGGCTGCCGCTAATTGGAACTACAGTTCCCAGAATACCCAGCGCAGCACGTGCCTCATGGAGAGCTGAGGTTGAGATTTTGCTTTGCTCCTGGCGGAGCGGGGTGACCTCCTGTCAGGACCGTGTGCAGGGCTGGGGAGGGGGCGGGGGGCTGCAGATCAGGAGAGAGAGAGAGAGAGAGTGTGTGTGTTTTCCTAGCAATATCTCCAGCGCAATAGAGTTGCATGTTGGTCTCTGAGTGAGAACAAAAGCAACGGAGCTCTGCCTGAGGTGATAATTGGAACCTTCGTTATGTAAAACCTTTCCACAAAGCCAGGGCTTCTTAGTGGATGACAAACTGAAGCACTTTCAAGGTAGCTAGCCTGACTGGGTGGGCAAACCAGTTTTTCTACTGTTCAGAAAAGTTTACTGACACTCGAGAAGTTTTGACCTACTTCCCTGTGCTTTGGGCTGTGCTGGGCATGCAGCTGCTTTCTCCTTTACCTCTGTAAAGGATATCATAAGGAATCATAAGGCAGGGTTGGAGGGGGAGTGGGGAGGGACTCTTTGATATATTAAAAGGCATGAGCAATGCTCTTAAAATTTTAAGCCAGATGCTGTATAAAACATAAAACACTATATTTACTAATGTAACATTAACAGTTATGGCTCAGCATATCTCAGTTTAGGTGACTGGGAAGGATTGTATAGTTAACAACAACAAGGTTTGAATGAATTTTTCACGTTTGATGAGGCTTTATTTACTCAAATCTTAGTGACCTAAGCTGAGAGTTTCAAAGCTGCTATGAGATTTGGACATCTACTTTGCACTAATTTTAATTGAGACTCCCAAGTCCAAATGCCTCAGATAACTCTGAAACATGGGCAGTATTGACAAAATTGTGTTAACTTTTAATGCAAACTTCATATGCATTGAGCCATAACTATTAATGTTACATTAGTAAATATACTGTTTTATGTCACTATCAGGAGGGAAGGAGCTCCTTGCTGCTGGGGCAGGGGGTCATAGTCCCCACGCAGGCTCAGGTGGCAGAGCAAGCAGCTCCTGGGGGCAGGGAGCAATCTCCCGCACCCTGGTGGACAGCTGACCGGGAGCAGATTTGCTCCCAGTCAGTTGTCTACACGAGTGCTACTGTGCCGCCGTTAGTAATTGAAAGTAAATTTGCTACTTGCATTTGCAGGTAGCAAATTTACTCATGATTAGCAAGGTTTACTGTGTAGTAAGCATATGCATGTGTAGATGCACATGTTTACTTCACAGTAAACTAGGCTACTGCGCAGTTAAGCGTCTCATATGGACGTGCCCATTATGTAAGTGAACAACAGAACTTTACCTTTTTGCACCTTCTCTTAAAAAGATTTGTTGCTCCTGACGACACTGGAAAGTCTGGTTGTAGAAAATAAAACATTTGACCCAACACACAGAACACAGTCAAATACAATGCTATGCAGAAGTTTAGTCAACATTACTCTCTTACCTTCTAAGCATCGAAGAACAAATAATAGGTATAAAAATCATGGTGAACATGATGCCAAGACAAAGGGCAGTCACAATGCCTTCAAATTCTCCTGTGTCTATGAGAGAGAAATGGGGAGACATGTCAGATTTAGGAGATCAGGATTGGAGGGAACTCCTGATCCTGTGAAGCTATGAAGGTGTCAACAGAACTCCTTAAACTTCATGCACATTCTGGGATCCCTACAAGCTTAGACATAAAGAAAACAATATAAAACATTTCAAGATTCACAATTTACTAGGTGCTGAACCTTTTACATCTATACTTTGCCTATAGAAAAAGGGTGGGAAAGGAGTAGGGAAACATTCTTTATCTTATTTATAAGCTCCAATTACCATCATTTAAGGTCCTTCATCTTAGTTCTGACTGTTTGAAACTGCTTCAGTTAGTTCAACCTGAAGGTGCATTTAGACCCATGGTTACAGGGGAGTAGGTTGTAGCTGTGTTGGTCTAAGGACATAGACAGACAAGGTTCTTTGGGTGAATCTGATATCTTTTATTAGACCAACTTAAATAGTTGGAGAATAATTTTTAAGCAAGCTTTTGGGTTCAAAAACCCTTCATCAGGCTAAGGAAGTATCAGCAGTTGGTGTGCGCTCTTCCTGGATGGAATGAGAAGTAAAGAAGCCAGTAACTGTGGGGGTGGTGGAGATGTGTTGGCAGGTTTTGCATTTCTTGTCATGCCATGGTCTGGATCTATCTGGTGTGTTCTGGGCTTGAGGAAGTTTGCTTCTGGTGATGAGGTTAGCAAGGTTTGGTGCTTGTTTGAAGGCTAGGATGGGTGGCTCTGGGAAGATCTTTTTAAGAATAGGGTCTTTTTCTAGTATGGGTTGCAATTGTTTGAGGATTTTCTGTACGGGTTCGATGGAGGGGTGATATGTCATAACCAGCAGTGTGAGGTTTGCAGTTTCTGTACTGCAGCAGTTCGTCATGTGGTATCTGGGTGGCTCTTTCAAACGTGCGATCTCTCTCTCTGGAGGAGTGTCTTTGTTGGGTGAAAGCCTTTTTAAGATTGGTGAGGTGGCAATCTCAGGTGTTCTCTTCGTGCAAATGCAGTGGTATCTGAGGGCTTGGCTGCATATCACAGCTTTTTTGGTGTGTTTAGGGTGATTGCTG